ATACCAATACATATTAAATGATCACATCAATATATGTATTAAATGAATGTATCAATAATTAATAATACAGTTATTATTGCCTCAGAAAGGTGGTTTATGGAAGTAAATCAAAAATGGCTATTTAGAAATTCAATTTACTAAGAATTATAATTTTACTTAATTTAATATGAAAATTAAATATTCCATTCAACTTGTATCAAATTTTTAAGTCTATATACGCATTATATGTATCACGAACACAATAAAATCAATAATTGTAAAAACAAAGAATAAACAATAAAGTTGTTCAATTTTTACTTTTCTTAGCATATAATTTAAAAAGATAATATGTATGATTTTTTTATGAGTTTAAACAACAACTTTTTTTGTTATTGTTATTTTGGTTTTATAATTCTATTATTATAAGAACAATAATATAAGTTTATTCATTAATAATGTTTATATTGTAGTATATATTATATTCATATACATGTATGACAATAAGTTTTAACAAAATCAATTTTATTCAAAATAAATATAACAAATTTTTAACAATACCATGATAATATATATAGTAATATAATATTATTTTATTAATATTACAATATTATGATAATTAATAGATAACATAAAATTTATAGTTTGCATATTATTAAACCGGCTATTTCAATATTTTTATTTTTAAAAATATATCAATAAATAAATATGTCAATCTTCCTAACTATATTAATTTGTAATAAAAATTTCTTGTTATTATTCATGTCGTAAAATAAATAAACATTTTAAAACCTTTATTATATTATATTATGTTAAGTTAAATGGTTTATTCAATAATTTCTATAATTAACTTAAATTGAGATCATATAACAAATTAATTAAATGGATTATGAATTATTTGAAATGAAGAAAATTTTTAAAACTCGGTATTTCTTAATATTACTTTAAATCAAACAAATAAATCACTATTTTATTTTATAAAATCTTCATTATTGCGAAAACATTGAACACTTGCAAATCCATCCGACCTTGCATATAGATTCACATATATACACACAAAGTAGCTATTATTTTTAACATAATCACTTTATATTAAAATAAAAGATACTATACTTGTAAATAAAATATATATACAGCTCAAGGTAATTTTGATGCAAAAATATAGTCGTGACCTACTCAAGTTTACCTACATAATATACCAGGTAGTCCGTCTCTTTTTTTTTTTTAATTTAGTTAAAATGAATTTTTCAGGTGACATTGATTTCTTTTATATTTGCTATATAATCTAGTTTTTAAACTTGCCTTAATTGAAATACACTGTAAAATAAACAAAATAACATAGAAGCTTTTTATATAAATTTCATGAATATCGTAGCCATTTTCAAAATTAACAAAATCAAGATCGTTGTCTATATGAGCTGTGCAAATGCCAATAATCGAGTTGGATTAGTGTGTGGTAAAAAAAAAAAAAACTTGATAAAATCTTTTAATTCGCCATTGAATTGACTTTTTTTTATGCCTAAATAATATATAGGTCCACGCGCGCAAGCACATTTCATACAAATAACAAAACATTTAATGTGGCTTGTGTACAATATAAAAGCCGAGTGTGTAATGTTTGGAGTCTGTTCCATTTTTTCTATGCGCATATTATAATAGGGCTTATGTTTTTATTTTTGCTGACTGAGATTACGCCTATATTCACTGTATACCTCCCGGAGTCGTTTAAATGGGTTTATGTGTGGGGTAAAAATAAATGCACTGCACAACTTTATAATATGACAGTCATTAAACGAAAGAAAACACGAAGCGTGGAGGAAAAAAAGATTATTCGGTCAGAGACCCGGGTTAGTTTTATTGCACACCGATCTCACCTAATCCAAGAAGAAATCTGAAAATAAAAATAGTTGAGGAAGAAATGTGTACCTACGTACATATAATAATATACAGAACGTGCAGGTATAGACGGACCTGCAGTTTCACGCATAAAACCTTGGCTTTAGCACTTCGGATAATGTTTTATGAACACCGAGAACTGAGTTCTCTTCAACCAATGTCAACGATATATATTTCGCACCGGTAATAATGTGTACCTATATAAATGGTACTTTTTTTTTATATATTAACATATTCACAGTTACATTTCTTCGTTTTTGGAGCTCAAAAAACCTACGTAACGATCGCGACAGATGTTCCTCGATCGCTCAACTATATAGTTATATAATATATATTTTGTGTCCAAAGTCAATCCCTCGATGTGTGTTGACTGGTTATTTGTTTTCACGTAATAATATATACGTGCAATAGCCGGTAGGTTATTATTTTCGTTCATAAAAAATAAATATAAACATCTAAATTAACATATTCACGTGGAACCTATTTACATGAATCGTAAATACTAAGCCTCGATATACTGTTTTTTAAAACCATTAAAAATGTTAATCAAATATAATATTATAAATATAAAATATTTTTCGTTTTAAATTTTGCTTAATATTGCAATTAATTGATGCTGTTTCAAAAGTGCTATAAAATGAAGATTCGTAAGTTATTTAAAATATTTTGTATAAAATCAGTTCAATAAGTATATCGCACAATGAAATAAATTGAGTGACCAATATAATAGTGAATATTCCACAAAAATTATATATATATATATATATATATGATAATAAAAAAAATGGCATTATAATTGTTATTTATACGTTTTAAATATACAAATTATGTATATAAGTTATAATTTTCGTAACCATAATAATTGAAAAGGTTAAAATAACTATGTTTTAATATTATAAAGATTAGATAATCATTTTTTATTTAATAACTTATAAATTTAAAAAAATATTTAAGTTTTTCTGAAAAAATTAATGCAACGTTAAATCAGTTAGTTAAAATATAAAATATCTATTATCTTATTAAAGAAATAAACTTTGAGTAATTTAAATGGTAAATTAAAAATAAGGAAACATATTTATTTTACTTTAGCTGAGGAAAATTAAATAGCTCTGAGAACAATATCAGTGCGGAAAGTATAGAGTGAAATACTCAATATTACGTAGTTAATCGTAATGGAAGAACGATTTTTGAAAATGACTTAATATGAAGCTTGAACTATTGCAATTTAAATGGCAAGCTTCATAAAAGATAGTTTATAAATTACTTTAAATAACTTGTATAAATTCGAAAATAAGTATTACATTTAGATATACAGATTTTTTGCAATTAAACAAAAAAAAAAAAAAATGCTCATTGATTGTTATAACTAATTTTTGTAGCTATAGAATTTAATTAATCAGAAACTTTAGACCACACATTGTTTATGTTGAAAACTATTCATGGAACTCAAAGGTCAAAAGAAAATTTACTAAAGATATACTTAAAGACGTAGATTGTTACAATGTTCAAGTACTTTGTAAAAATGGTAGTTATATAATTTACTTATTTTAATTTTTAGTAAGGGCAAGTCATGTTTTTATAACAATGAAGTGATTATGAATCTTAAACTAAATAGTTTTAAAAAATAAAGACTACCTGTAATAAACTATACTGCTTTATTTAATTATACCATTATGTGATTTACGTAAATAGTTCGAAAAATAACTAAAAATGCATACTTTTTCTATATCGTTTAACTATTGAAAATGATTCTTTTAAAAACTTTATGAAACATATTGTTATGTTATAGACACAATTTGACAGTATACAGATATCAATTTTGTTTTAAAGTTCATAAGGCAGTCTAAACTTTCAGTTAACTCAATAACGTTTGTCCGTCTACATTTTTTTCCTGTCTTTCTCGATTTGGACAATTTCAACATTCTCGTTCACCGATAAGTTATATTGGTTGAAAACTTTGATAATGGACCTACTTAGAAACATCATAGTATCTTTAGAAAATAATTTTCATTTATGTGTTTGAGAAATAAAAAAATTCTTGGGATCTATCCAAAATAAGTACACAAAAAAAAAAAAAAAAAAACAAATCGATTCTATCATGGTCACACAAGTATCTTATATATATATACATTTTATGTATACCCATGTGTGTATAATATATATATATATAAGATATATTTCCTCTCTTCCTTCCGTCTTTTTCCCTTCTCCCGGTTACTTCGACCTCCGGAAGAAAAATGATGGATGACAAAGTTGTCTTTGTTCCCCTCCACTCAAAAAACCCACTGCCATTTCCAGAGCAACAACGATGATACACGCGAATTAATACGTCCACTGACGATCATAACTCATTGTTTGACCGAGATGACAAGACCGAGATATATGAAAAAACATGCATCCCAGATATGGCAACAAATTATACGATGAATCATAAACATTGTGAACTGACAACATGTATGATCTATGTAAACATCAAATACCAGTGTTAGAAAACAACTTAATCAGTTAAAAAATAATTTTTGGATAGCATCAATATAACATCAATATCAGTATATTATTAAACAAATCAATATTTTGTTTCTGAGAATTTAATTCATTATCTAGAACATAGGATAGTTTTAACAATAGCTTAAAATAAAAAATAATGATAATGTAACACAAAATATTTTTATATAACAACATTATATACTTATAACTATATCATATTATGTAGATAAATTTATAAATCTAATTCTAAATAATTTAGAACTTTTATCAAAAAATAATATGGATATCAAGTAAGGGCCATGCCAAGATACCATATTTTTATTAAGTTATTTATTCAATGATTTTGTAACAAGTTCAAAAATGTAAGAGCTTTTAGGTACTAATTAAACATAATCGTCAACAATGATGTTCTATCTTTGAAAGAGTAATATATAAAATACAAAAATCAAATATATTGCAAACTTGAATTAATTAATAATAAATATAAAACTGATACGGTATGTACTTTATGGGCGGTAATTGTTTGTTTTAATATCTTAATCACTTCGGATATAGCATAAAATAATAAAACGTATTCAGAGTATATAAAAAAAAAAAATAAGTATGAAAATCACACATCCTTTGGTGATCTATAAAGCAAAATGTATGGCAAAAACGTACTAGAAAATGTAGAAATATTCATACACGTACATCTCACATCAACCAAATGTGATTTATAAAAAACCATATTTGACAAAAACTTATTTCCGTCGTGCTTTCTGTTGCAGACATCATTCTATTCTACTTCACTGAAAACGCTCATATCCGTATCCACCATCATTCTGCTGGGATTGATCATGGCCTACCACGCGCTCGAAGTACAGGTAAGTTTAAAAATCTTTGTATATTATGCGCTATAAAAAATTGTGCAAACGACCTTCAAAGTTTCAACAAAAGAAAAAAAATAATATACGTCACTCTAACTAACATTCAAAATACAATATCGAGTAACCGGAAACACTGAAAAGAAATCTTTTCAAAAACTTTACTTGAAAACTTACTTTACACAATGTAACCATCGATGTTAGGTGTAAATGTTATTTCAGTAGTTTCATTTGCTCCAAGAACTCGATCAGAGGTTTCTTCTAAGCTTAGGATGTTCCATTATTATTCATTTTAAAAATAACAAAATCAACAAAAGAAAAGTTTTCACTAACTTTAAGTCATGTAGGTATCGTAAAATAATAACTATTATATGGTTCACTCAAAACTATTACACGACTTAAATATATTTATTTTTTATTATTTACATTTACACTTGTAAAAGCTTATAGTAATAAATCTCATTTAAATCAGCACGCATAAAAAAAAATATAAGTTGTATTTGTCTTAATTCAACTCACGTGCAAATAACTCAATTATCTTCATGATTAAAAATATAAATAAAATGAAATAACTTATGTATATTGCAATAATATTTTAAGTTTTAGCCTGATTTAAAAACTAGGTATTAAATGATTTCTAAACATTAATTATACTAAATATTTATTTAAAATTGAGCATATTTTTTTTTAAATTATGATACCTACTTGAGTGTGTAACTTATATTTTAATATAACCATTTCAAATCAATGTTGATAACATTTTAACATTTTGTAATTAAAATTTTAATGTATATAATTTTATACTTATAAAACTAATCAAATCATTAATTTTAAATGAATTCGTATGATAAACATCCAAAACTGAACTTCAAAAACTTTATGGACAAAAAATTCGTAAATTAATTTTATTATCATAAGCACTGCCTAAATAAAAATTAAATAATAATATATATTATATATATATAATTATTATTGTATATAAGTATATAATATAATAATGAACCGTAAGTCTTACATTCATTCTTTTAAAATCAATAACTTTTTTGCGCCACTCAAAACCTAAAATATTTCATTTAATACTATCTAAATTATTTCATCTTCTCAATTGATAACATATTATAATTACATAATATGACCTCTTTTTAAAGTAAATTAAATTACAGAAGGATTGTATTCTACATTAATTTTATTTGGCTTAATTTTTAGTATCGAAAATTTGTTACCCCCGGATACATGTAAATTATTGGACGGTATTAGTTTAAAGAACGAAAAATAACAAATCTTCTTGCTGGTAAACAAGAAGCAAAGAAATATCGGTAGACCCTGAAAATTTATTTGAGACATTTCTTCTAAAACATAAAAACCACATTATCTGATAAGTCACTTTTACTTAACAAAGCTATTTTTGGTTGACACTGTGAGTGAGTTGGTTATTAGTCACAAGGGTCGTATTTAACAGTCATCTCTCGTTTCTAGTTGTTATTTTAAAAATATCAAATTAAAAGACATTCATATTGTCTTATATGTTATTATTTAAATATTATTATAATTTGGGTTATCATTCCCAAATTTTGGTGCATACTGCAATTTTAAATATACATCAAATAAAAAAAATATTTTAAATTAGCTATTCAAACGTAATCATTGTGGAGATTTGTGTTGTTAAACAGATAAAAACTCACCATTAGACAATCATCTATAATTTTGAGCTTATTTTTTTTCTGAACCTAATTTATTTAATTTTATATAATTTCATAACTAAAGTATGAATAGATGAAAGAATTTCAAATGCGGAATAATACCTTTATACAGCTCAGTATAAAGAGAAACAGTCTCGTTTGTAAAGTAGAATTATGTAAAACTAATTCAAAAAAACCCACACGCTGACTCTTCTTGTTTCGTATATTTGTATTACTTTATCTTCTTCTTATAAATTATAATGATCCCAAAAATATATATTTATATTATATATTGTAATTTTAATATTCATTCGCCTATAATAATATTCGTAGTTTGTACACATGAATCTGTAAAAAGCAAAATACTAACACTTTACATCACACTTGGAACTTTGCGATATATTTCAAAACAAATTATAATACGTTAAGTGAATAATTTTAATAATAATGTACGCAAATTAATAATCTGACACATTGAGTTCATTTCAATTTAAATTATAAAAGAACTGAATTATTTTGAATTTATAAGTATCGTTTATAAATCGTTCATTCTCGTATAAAATGTTTAAAAAATAAGCAGTTATATGCCTTTTTATGTAAGTGTAGTATATACCTAATATAATAATAGAAATTTTAAAATATTATTTTATTTCATTTCAGGATAACATAAAAACGAACAATACTAAAATTTAATTGCGTTAATATTTACGTAGGTAATATAAATGAACATTATCAAGTTAAGATGTCTAATATAATGGATTTCCAAGAAAAGTCGATTTTTTATTTCTTGAAAATTTTTTATCATCTATTCTATTTCAACTTTAATTGCTGAAGATACAAGTAAGATCTTTATGATCTCATGAAACTAAACCAGCAATAAATGGATAACGTAATCTATATAATAATTTATTTTTCTTTGCTTGACTTAAATTTTCTGTACCAGACATGCAAAAATCATTTTTAAATTATATATTGTATTTTTTTACTGTATTTAAAGTTAAGGCTTTTTTCAAACAATTATTATTATTGGGAAAATTAGTTAGATTTTACTCATTTAAAGAACAAAACTAAATAATTTTTAAACAAATAAGATTTGAGCACAACATTAATTGGTTTATCTATTATTTTTTTTTTTTTTTTACACATGATATATAAATGTAATAAAAATATAATACTAATATTATTAACAAACAATATTAATTTGAGTATACTATTCATATAAAAGGTCAAAAAAAGCACGGAAATAAAAAACAATTCTGTGACGTTAATATTTTTTTTTCTTACAAGGTTTATGGTTTAATGATCAAATGATATGGAAATTAAAACGAGGGTAGGTACTATAGTTTTCTAAAAGACGGCACTATGGAATTTACTTTGAGTCTTGACATTCCTTTGCAGCAATTATTGATGGTGAACCTGACCAAACCGGATGACGTAGAAATATAATATATACGTATAACTGGAATAGTTCTAACCGCTATTTCCCGGAATAAAAATATGGTCCCTATGGAAATTATCCGTTAGTAAGACCTGTGAATATTAACAAGAGTCTCAGTTAAGACAGCAACAAGTAATCACCCTCCCGAAATTACACGCAAATATTACTCAAGAAATATTATAGCTTTAGCTCATTTATACAAACACACACACGTGCACACATAATTGAGTATAAAGCTATTTTATTTCCACCCTAAATTTGTTTAACATAATACACAATACTGCGTGCCAACACTGTATAATACAAATTTAGATTATTTCTCGCAACGATTACTATTGAATATGACACCCTAAACGGTGTTCATGATGGAGAAAGACTTTTACAAAAAAACTAAATAAAATTTTCAAAACGAAAAATATATTATGACCCTTGCATTAAGTCCCGTTTGACACTTTTTACACAAAAATATTGTAACGTTCTCGTAGTGGGGAAGAAGTCAGGGGAGATTACGATATTAATTGTGCGATAAAGAATTTCTATTCCTAAAAGATAAATTGTCCATAGCTGTGAGTTTGAGCACTATTGTAAGAGATTTTTATCAATAAAAAAAACACTTTATTTTACAACTTTAAAATGTTTTATGATATATTTTGATTTGTAATTCACTACAAATATTATGTTTATATTATATTGTAAGATGGTTGTATGGAGGTTTATTTGAGTTCGTTTTTATGTAGAATCCTGAATCATGACAAAAGAATGACTTTATATTACAATACAATTATTTAAACGGAGTCGAAAATATTTGTAAGAATATATTTTATTTTGATCTATTATTTAGAGTATAATTTATGTAAATTAAAATGTAAAAAACGTTATTCTAGCAGAAATATTATCTACATTAAATTTGAATTAATAAAGCTATTTTATTAATTACTTTTATGAAATAGCTTAAATAAAATAATTAATTTTATTTATATATTATAAAAATATTTCAAGAAATATAAATATATAATAAGCCCTAATAAACAAGCTCATGGTAGTGGGGAATAACAAATCTAATTTAATAATAAAAAGCATATTTCTTAAATAATTAATAACATATAATATTATATTATTGTACACTTTGAAATTCAAATATATATCAAAAAAAAAAATCAACTACATTGTTTTACATTTTATTTAATTTTAATTTTTTTTTTTTTAAACACAGACCTCTCAACTATGAACATTGTTTTGTAATAAAAAATATTATAATATATGTATATAATAAAACTACTAATTTGCATAACTACAGTCCAACTACTCAATAATTACTGTATTATCTTAGTGAATACATTTTTATTGCTATATTTTAAATTCATTTTAATTATTTATTCAACTAATAAAAACAAAATATACATTATTTAATACCTTATACAGTATAATATAAAATAAATAACAATTTAAACAACTTATTCGGTCTTAAAAAATGATTTAAAAGCTAAACCAAAAATATTAACCACATATCTAATATTTTATCTACATACATATTTTTAATTTTAATTTCTTTTTGGACAAATTACGTTTATATACGTATATAAGTAAATATTATTTGCATAATAATCTTTTCGACTTTTATGTTGATGAATGAATTCCAAGATATTTACTTATAAACTAATAAAAAAATGTCTGTTTATTAATTTAAAATTGACGTTCACTATTTTTTTTTTTTTTACCATTTACTCGTTTTTACACAAACTTTATAAGTTGATTTTATATAATATTTTATTCCAAGTATCTCAATAGGTTAGCTTTATACCGAATTCAATAGAGGTTTTATGTTTTATTTTTGTAAACCTCCTAAAAAGTTCTATAAATTGATATATTGGGGAAATATCCCTCCAATGTTTGCTCTTTTATTGAAGTAACGTAAGGCGTGACGTGACTTAAGAGTAAAATGCTGTCGAATATAAACCATAAGAAAAACCAGAAAAAAAAAAAAATTAAGGTAACGCCTGAAAATTACTTAAATATTAATTAAGAGCAAACATTTTTATTTTCTAGATACATTAATAATTGTAAATACGCATGTTGTTTCAATTATATTAAGGTATAATTTTTAAATGAAATGATATGAATTTTTACGTAATACAATAAATTAATGAATCATATTTAAAATGTTTCTTGTAAGGTATACAGTATACTTTAAAAATACTTTATCGGTTTATAATGATATGCGTCTTATTTGAAACAAAAGAAATAAATAAATAAAATATATGGTTTTACCGATATCTTTTAATTTTCCCTTTAAATAAATATTATTATGAAAAGTTCATTGATTTTAAACGTTGCACCAATGTTCATACAAAATATTTTAGTTGACAGTAATTAAATATTATTCTGTTTGATCGGAGATAATAGCATAATATAATGACTATAATAAAATATCGCAGCTATAGTTTTTTTTTTTTTTTTTGCTTAACGAAGCTAATATATAATCGCACATCTTAAAATACATACACCATTTCTCAATGAACAAAAAATAAATATTCTACTATTCATTTTTCAGTTAAACTCTATTCTTTTTAAGGTCTCAAGCAAACTTTCAAATTTCAATTTCACGTCAAAATCAAGTGCTCTTGAGAAAAGTACTTAGTGCGAATGTTTGCATTTAAGGAAAAATATGATGATTATCTGAATTTCAGAGATAGAGATAAAAGTAAAGCCAGGTATTCGTTATCGCGTTTAATGATGTATTTTGATAAAATAATATCTATATTTAGTACGAGTCTTACTTGGCGATGGAACATCCGTTAATTATTGTATTTTTAAGAAAAAAACTCGATCTAGAACACTAGACATATCAAATGATAGCTATTCCGTATTTCCGTCAGGAATAATATAATTTTATTGTGGTTAAAATGAAAAAAAAAAGTTCTATGTATCATAGATAATTGTGGTCTTAATTAAACGACCTAAAACACTTCACTTTTCCGATGATTGCGATTCTGTTTACATATTTATTCGGTGAATGCATACGATTACGCGATAATTTTAACCTTTTTCGGGACGTTGCATCGGTAAATACGAATTTCGCGAAGAAAACAGAGACGCAGAGTGACGGCGGTTTTACCAATATCGATCTATTTTTCACGAATCACAAACAATAATGGTATTCTTAAAGCGCATGTGTTTATTTTTTTCTTTCCACATGATACTAAATTGTATGGGATGGGACGAACATTTATTTGCACGGGTTAAACTTGCAATAACACAACTGGCCTTTGTAAATAAACATGTGATGTTGTGGCGATAAAATAAAACAAAACAAAAACAACAGTGATAATAATCGTCGTACGTGTACTGTATTAATGAGTAACAGCCGACGCGACGTACATTTAATACCTGAAACAATACGACAACATGCTACTATGTTGTTACCATGACCACAACGACAACAAAATAATAATAATAATAATAATAATAATCTGTATTGTCGTGGAATGAAATTTATCGGCAAAACAATGTCGTACGTGGAATAAATAAATAGCTGTCGAACGGCTAAGGAAAAAAAATATTTCGTATTCGCATTCCCCTGGCAGTGCATTTCTACTGCAGCAGCATTACAGGGATGATCGGTGTGCGGTTTACGAGAATTCCATTACTTAGACCCTACCATATTGGCTGGCTTACCCTCCCCCCCCCCCCTACCACACACCGGGTCTCTACAATTTTAAATATCGAAAAATATTTATTTTTTTGTCAAATCATGTATTATTCAATTACTTAAAAATTAAAAATTGACGGGAAAATAAAGTTATTGATTGATACCGGCAGGTTTATGGCGTTATAATATTTTACCAGTCAAAAATACGGTCATAATTCATCAGACTGGGTATATCCAGTTTCAATTACCTCGTCAAAATATGTAATCGTGTTAAATTTAAAATTAACGGTTAATCCCAGTATTAAAAAAAAAAAAGTTTCCGAGTGGACTGAAATTTCCGATATTCATTGATTACAGAAATTAATATTACACGAGTAACCACTATTCTATAGATTACAAGCTATAAATATTATCCAAAGACCTGTCGAACAATTTTAAACACCCGAAAAAATAAATATCGACGTGTAATTACAAATAATTGTAGTGCGCCGCATTACACGTTTAGTCCTGATTATTAATTATCGGTATAGGTTCTCTCTCTATTGATACCCGTGCAATATAAATCCCTCCATTACCACCGTATACTGTATTATTTAGTAACCGTATTTCACATTTTACACCCACAGTTGTTCATGATTGACAATTGCGCGGACGACTGGCGGATCGCGATGACGTGGCAGCGGATTGCCATCATCACGATGGAGCTGGTGATCTGCGCGATCCACCCGATTCCTGGGGAATATTACTTCGAGTGGAAAACCAAGCTGGCCAACAAGCACGGAAAACCGGAAACCCGGTGTGTGCCCTACGACGTGCCGCTATCGCTGCCGATGTTCTTCCGGCTGTACCTCATCTGTCGGGTCATGCTGTTGCACAGCAAGCTGTTCACGGACGCTTCGTCCCGCAGCATCGGCGCCCTAAATCGGATCAACTTCAACACGAGGTTCGTGCTGAAGACGCTCATGACCATATGCCCTGGCACGGTGCTACTCGTGTTCATGGTGTCCCTGTGGATAATCGCCAGCTGGACACTCAGACAATGCGAAAGGTATAAACCAACCGACCGTAGCGTAACACCTCGCTACTGTCGGATTTCTAATATTATAATATTATTGTTATTGAATCGTATCGTCATTCATCAGCACTACAGTGGCGTTGAGTACGGGGACTCGGGGAAATGCTCATTTAACCGTCTAACATTATACGCGATTAAAAATGGCTTACTGAATTTTAAGCCGACAAAATATAATATACAAAGCTGCACCGATATGTGACTTAAATTTTTACGAATAATTATTGTTGGAAAAAAAATTGCCATTAAAATAGAGGTTAATTTAGACATATATTATATTATATTTGACAATTAGTTTTTAAAAATAGTATGGAAAAAAAATTATTTTGAACATTTCAAAAATTAAATCTTACAAACATCGATAGTGGCAGTGGTGTGTAGTACGTATATTATTATGGTCATTGTTGGAATCAAACCACATTTTTTAACGAAACTCGGCGTCACTGTAGTAATACTGTATACTGAAACCTACACAAATGTTATGTGTACAGACGATCTTCGATGATTATTTTTTTAGTCTTATCGATTGGGCATCTCCGATTCCATATTGGTACAACTTTTTACTTGCGATTGAAAAGTAATAGACGCCTTATCGATACTTGGTACAATATGTATATATATATATATATATATATTATATATTCTTAATATATATATATATATATATTATACATTCGTAATATATATGTTTATCTGCGCTATCAATCTATGACTTTTCAAACAGATTTTGTTGTAAATATATAACGACTGTTTTCTATCCATCTGATTGTGGTTATCGGAGACTATGGGAACATACTTGCAATGTTATGTTTTCGGACTGACACTCTGTCCGTTGTATGATTAATTTTAATATTATATTATACATAATAAGTACCTCGTTAAGCGTTAATTAGGGTGTATACTATTGTAATTAATACCGTTTTGCAACAGTTCAAAGTAACGTCAGGCGTGACCGGTTGTATTAATAATTGACGATCAATCTTCGAACGGTCATCTATGTGTAATATTAGTAGGAAATATGAGACATACAACATATAATTTAAACAAATGTTAAAATGATGGTTTATTTATCAATGATTAGTATAATTATAGTACGAGCGTGCCCAATATGTGGCCTACGCGTCGGATCCAATACATAGAAATATTTCGACAGGCCGGTGAAAATATAAAATTATAAATTTTTGTAGGTATTATTAATAAAAAAAAGACTAAAATTTGAAGAAAAAAAAAGTTATTTTAATAAGTTTTTGAGAATTATAAAATATCTAACACTAATTTTTAATACTTGAATATAAAAAAAAAAAAAATTTAATTTTAAAGTATTTAATAGAATTAATAAATTTACATGAAATATGTGTTTATTTTTCTTCAGCCAATTTTAAAGGTCATAAATTAGTTGAATTTAAAAATATGACGTTTATTATATTTTTTGCGTATATCAGAATAAACAAAAACAACCCATTGACACAACACAAATATAAACTTAAAATTTGGCCTACAAGTTGAAAAAAATTGGGCACACGTGATATAGTATCTAAGACAGAAAAAAAACCATAATATACACGATACAGATGTCAGATAACCCGTATGTCCAGCGTTCGCTTCGCTTCTCTCTCTCTCTCTCTCTCTCTCTCTCTCTGTCTTTCCTTAGTATGGGATAATGAAACGTTTATTTGTTGACATAAATTTTAAACCTAAAGCAGCATATTATTATACTATACAATAAACTACCGCGTTTAAAAAACGGTTCTAAGCAGAGCCTAGAGTTAAAACCACAGGTGCCGAGATTCATTTAATATTTTATTTTGAGCTGTGGGTGGCTTATTTTTTATACTTGATGTTCACTATAGAAAACTACTGTTATTAAAAAATAACCTCTTCAAAGTAACATCCAGACTTAAATTACTGATCCTTAAAGTTACTACGTAAAAATATCGTATCATTTCACTGCCCGTAAAAGTATCCACGGAAAAAGCATTATCATAAAACCAACATAAGGTACCCTACAAATCTAAAATTAAATATATTTCAATATTCGACTCCTGATATCCTTTGTTTTTAGCTATTAGAACTTTACCCTTAATAAAAAATAACGAATTCATAGTTTTTTTTGAAAATATATGTACTTAAATAATTGGTAATATACTCGGGTTATAAGTCATAATTATATAGAATATTTTTTAATTCACTATTAACTATGAATTTTAACACAATACTCAAATTTTTTAAAGTTAATTGTTTCATTCTGATGTAGCACTTAAAAGTACAATACAATTTATTTCTAATCACCATCAACTAAAGCAAATGTTTTGATTTTATTGACAAATTAAAAAAACATATAAAAACATACGTACCTACTAATAAAAACCAGATGACCTAACCTAACCTAACTGTGATCGATTCCATACTTTCTTTTATTTATTTATCTTCTTGCTCGTATTATGATATATCAACATATCGTTACTTCAAATTTTCAAATAAAAATTATAATTATGACCTAATTTATCCCTATTTAGTAAATTATATTTCATTCAACTACTCAAACTAAAATAATTTCATCTATAAATAACATATCCTAAATTCTTAACCCTTGTTTAAAAATATTCATCGCGAATATCGGCATGAAAAACAATGATAATAATATAATGATTAATTTTTGTGAAGCAATTTCGATGGTGATCTTTAGTGGCGTATTTAGGATTTATTTGAGGGGGGAGATATGACTGAAATAGTTTTTCTCCCTCCACTCGAAATACATGACGATACAATCAATTGATTATAACTACACGCCTAATATATATTATATCTGTACATAGTAGGTATATAAACTTTATAATTATAATATATAACATATTAGATAGTGAATCATTAATTTATTTATCATTTAAAAAACTAAAAAAAGTTGAAAAAAAAAGTCAAAAGGATGATATATCTTCCTCATCTCCCCCCGTAAATACGCCACTGGTGATCTTATACTCGTATATAAATTTTCATTTCTCGGTATTATGACCGTTGAAAGGATACAATATTATTTCACCCCTCAAAGTATACACTGGATGAGAAAAACTAAAAACATCGTTTTCACCAAACAATCGACTAAACTAGTACCAAACGCGCTTTTTTTCTCTTTCTGCATTTTATTCCTCGGCATGTTGAACAAATGTCGGTAAAAATCCAAACCTTTTTCATTGGAGTATATACATAATATATACACATATATTGTATATATATATATATATAAGTATATATATATATATATATATAAAATTCAATTGTATCCCTCGTGTTTGGCACAGTAAAGTGCTTTTTTTATAAAAACATACGCATACAATATTTGAACAGTCATGTTATTTGAAAATAGCATGAACTAATTCTTCTGAGATGACGACCAAACATTCTAATAAAATTAAATTCCGTCATTGAAAAAAAATAAATATATGTATATATATCATATAGATATTTTAAAAAGAAACATCTAATTTTTATAATAAATCATTTAAAATAAGAATAGTTTTTAGTCGCCAAACGTGCTATGTTAGCACACGAATGAAACTAAACAATGTGCAAATGTTAACCACTGGCACGTTTTATCTATTCATATCACCCGTGATAATATTAATAATATAGTGTCTCTATTAGTAAAAACGAATCAGCGTTTCCCCTTGTTCTGTGTTTGGCTCATATTATGATAACAAGAGGTCATTCTAATTAGACAAAACACAAAATTATTCCAAACATTAAGTACGGACAATACGTTTTATATGCTCGTGTGGTGAACACAACGCCCGACTACTTCCTAAAAGGAAAATTTAATCAATGTGCATTTATACGCAGTACTTTTTCGGCAATTCACTAGTAAAAAAAAACACTCTACGACCGTTTTCAGTCCCTTAAACAAAACCACGATATGACATTAGACAACGCGTATACCGATAAATTTTAAACCTAATAGCATTAACACTTAAAGAAAATCGGATTCATTCCAAAACCTTCAGAGAATTTTATAGAATATCTTTTTTTTATTTATTTAATTTATTTCCTTACTGTGTCTTTTGAAAATATTATTGAAGAAACTTGTCTGCCATACGTTTTGCTATATATACATATTATATATGTATAAAATCATTTTAATACAAAATCTGTGTATAAAAACTTCCCTCGTCGGACATTTAGATAAAACTTTTCGCATATATTAGCTCTATTTTTCGAACACCTGTAGAAATAACAACATTTACTGCCAATATTCGCATTGTATATTTGTATAACTACAATGTACACAAGTCAAATTATGTGCAGAGTCACTTTAAAGTTCAACCATTTTTCACTTATTATTTATAATTTAAAGAACTTATTTTTAATAATAATAATTTTATACAAACCACACTTGATACGAATGGCGATTTTAAGCAGTGTATAAATTATAAAATACCGAATTATTACAATGAATTGCGACATATGTGTAACCACCATAATATTATATACGTCAATTATTTTTATGAAACAGTCATCGCCCGGCCATCCCCTCTGCATCCATTTCTCGGTCGTTTTCTTGTTATTTTTTTTTCATTTTTTTTTTCACATCCGCAAGTACATATGTATCTATAATATTTTGCAATGCAGTATGACGATATTTCAGCTTTGAATCTCGATCCCTTTTTCACTGTTTCACAAGTGCGTGCTATATAGCGTAATTACGCAGTTGCAAAATGTGTCTTGATCACCCCCAGGCCGTTTCCAAAGCATTGCACGCCTACGGAGCTTAAGGTCGGATGCGTGAAGCCATCTGAATTATTCACAAGTTCTGCGTAAAAATAGACAGTTTCGTACGCTACTTTTTAAAAATTATTAGAATTACTTTTATTTATATTTTATAATATGAACGTATTTGGAAACCCAAGAAAAAAATGGTTTAAAATAATCATGAACTGCACGAATGACATTTTTATAGCGATACTCTGTAACATATTATTATAAAT